TTAAGATAAGAACAACTATCGACTCATTTCATGGAGTTGGTACACTCTCTAGTTCCCAGACCTTTGTAAACAACGTTGTCAGTTCCTTAGCAAGAAAGTTGCCACCATCTTTAAAAAGAGCCGGAGGTAAGTCGTCTGGGCCAGGTGATTTGTAGCGCTTCAAGAGTTGGGGTTCCTTGCGGACTTCCGCCTCATTCGGTGGATCAGTCGTCACTGGCCATGGTGGGCAGGACAGTCTGACCGATGTTGCAGCAGGCCAGTTCATCTGCCCTTCGAAAAATTCTGCCCATCGTCCAAGACGTCGATGGATTTTAGTGATTGGCTTTCCGTCATCCTTACAGATTGTTCCACTCACACCAGACTTCTTGATGCCAGTGACTCGGATGAGTTGGAAAAGCTTCCGGTAATTACCAGATGCAGCTGCTGCTTCCAGCTTATTAGCACGCTTCGACCACCAGGCTTCTCGGTCCTTACGCAAGCTTTGCTCGATTTCATTACGTAACAGCCTTCATTTGTGTTCAAACTCACGATCACCCGGAGTAGACCGACGGGCTTCAATGAGTTGTAAGGAACCTGCAGAAACCCAGTGCTTATAAGCGGGACGTTTCGCGAACCCACAACTGATTGTACCCGCCATTTTCATGGCGTCATGAAGTTGCATTCAATGCTCATCTATACTTTTTGGTGAAATGATAGCTAGCCTAGCAGCTATCTCGGTTCGATACTTAATTGCAACAGAAGTTGCAACCAACTTGCCGGCATCAATCCTTTGGTGAAGGTCACTTCGTTGTCCACCGAGAAGTAAGGCGAGGTTGTCGCAGACCAGGGCATGATCAGAGTCCAGATAGGAACTTTAGAAGAAGTGGCAGTCTTGTGCACAACCACACCAGAGGTAGCTGATCGCGATGTGATCAATCTGAATCCAGGCTTGAGATGCAGAGGAAGGACGCCAGGTGGCACATCGGCGATGACTGTGCCGAAAGTTAGTGCTAGCCAGAAACAGGTTGTGGTCTGTGCACGGTTGCAGTAGACGGTCCCCGTTATCTGTCCTGCGACCAACAAGTCCCCGTCGACCACCTAAACGACTCTCTTCTGTGCCTAGACGCCCGACCTGGGCATTCAAGTCTCCGGCTAGTACTACAATATCTGTCGAACGCACTTTCTGTAGAAGAACAGATAACTGGTGGTAAAACTCATCCTTGATTGCATCCGGGCTGCAATCTATCGGGGCATAGGCGGAGATGACGAGAAGACATCGTTTCTCACGCCGATTTCTTCTCACTTTGATGGAACTTTCTAATCTAACAGCACATAACCGACTGTTAATGGGGATCCAATCGATTAGTGCTGCCTCAGCTCTAGCGCTTAGTGCGACACCAACGCCAGCAAGACCAGACGAAGATGCCACAGGGTCCCCGGATAAGCGCATGTAAAACAAGCTTTTCGAAGCGACAGATGGAGAGCGGATTTGTAGTACTTCACCAGAGTCTTGAATACTGGTCTCGGATAGACAATAAACGTCGATATTAAGACTTTCTAAAGACATATCCAGCCCTATCTGTTGTCCGATCTGCATTAGTGTGTGAACGTTGAAGGCAGCCAGTTTGAATGGTGCACGTGGTTTCAGTATTCGTGTTCGCTGGTAGCATTTAATTTTCGACCAGTCAGTGACTCGAAATCTTTCAGATAGAACAGAGTTTCCACCATGGGCGAGCTGCTGTATAAGTTGAAAAATAAGGATACACAAAGTGGGAATAGGAGAGAGTGGATAAGTGACGTAGTAAATAATAATAATAATAATAATAATAATAATAATAATAATAATAATAATAATAATAATAATAATAATAGTAATGTGATGGTTTTCTAAAGGGGCCACACCCGGAGCCTTTGACCTGAAGGTCTGATCCACAAGACAGTGGAACATCGTAAGGAGATGCAGTCCCGGTGACCAATTATTGGTTCATACGCCATTTATTCCCTCAGTGTACTGGAGTCCATGTGCATTATTAGTTTGGAATCAGGGTTTTCCAACTCCCTTAGATGAATTCTCCGTACCCACCAACCAGTTAGAGCGCCGGACATTTGTTTTTCGTCCTCTCAATTCCGTAAACAACAGCCCCGCCACTAGAAGGCAGTGAGTAGAACTTCCATGGCAGAGGATATATACGCGTGGAAATGTGAAAGCATTTCGAGAAAGAGAGCGGGCTCTCTCCTCCTTTATGAAGGTTGAAGGGACAATTTCTAAAACGAATTTTCTGAGGAATCAACACTTGAGTTGTTATCAGAGAATCGGTCTCGTTAAAATAGGTCACCTTCAAATAAGAATTTGCTGGTAAAACCGTTATCTAAAAATAAATATACAGTAATGTTTGGTGTACAGTTCTATAATCTATAGAGATATCATATCACGAACCTGACAACTTTTTCAAATATAGGGAAGTGAAAACGACGAGGTGGTTTTATCCGTGGTGATTTGTTAAAAGCAGGATATTTATAAGGTCTTTCTCATTCCCTCATTGTGCTACGACAACTTCATACAACATAATATTAATTAATTGGTGAGTTTATGGAGGACTCAATAACTGGATTTTTCTTTATCTATTTTGGATATCTGTGTGTGGTCCCATAATAAAAAAACGTAATCAACATTTCGTATTCGCCTTCTGATTAATATACCGTTGGGGCGTTATTTAGTGACGGTTATCATGACGAACTGTATACGAAGCTTAAGGATTATATTGAATACGGACCACCACAGTACACATGAAATCAAAACAATTAACCAATATTAAAGTGAGAATCTTCAATGCGAACCTCAAGACAGTCCTTCTGTACCGAGCTGGAACGTGAAGAACTACCATAAACATCTTCTTAAAAGCACAAGTATTCCTAAACATCAGTATTGGGTTGTGGGTATTATTAAGTTTTTTGATTGAGATCAGAGAATCGATTGATGTTAGACCAACATTGAAAACCTGGAAGCACTGGACGGTCGCTTCGTCCTATAGTGGGACTCCTCAGCAGTGTGCATCCCCGATCCCGCACTTCGGAGTCGAAAACAGGAAATTAGCCATTAGCAATTTTTTAGTGTATGAGACTAAACATTGTGTCTGATCATTCCTTGATGCTTCCAACTGTTATCTATTAATGGACTAAAGATATGACCAAAGGAAACATCAAGTCAGATTTAAGACGTAATCCCGACTTGTATTTAATATTGTTAGTATCACTGGTTAGGTAGTTCAATGCATGATGACTTAACGTCTGAACCACTCAACACCAAATTTCATTTGCTTTAGAAACGTCGAGATTCATCGAAATTCTTTGATGTGGTTTGTGTGTGAGTCCCACATAGAACTTTTTACACATTAAAGATTTCACAAGTATCAATTAATTATTGTTTGACAATAGGTAATCTTTTTCTACGCTCAATTGTAAAACATATTTAGTTGTAGTTGGCTTTTAAATTGAAAAAGAAAATGGCATCAATTATAATTATAATAAATCTTCTAACTGAACCCTTTTATTAGTTTCCTAAGCCGTAGTCTAAATCTTCACAACAACTTGAACACGAGAGCAAAGATGCAAAATGTGGAAGGAACGCTTTACTCCAAGGTTAGTTTATGTACAGAAAATCGAAGGTATTTTTAGTATTTCAGATGTTCATAGGCTTCTGAAACCCTACTAAATATAATGACAGGATAGGTAATTATCCTAATCGAATTATGACAATAAACTCTTCACTTTCTAGATGTTTCTGCGAAATTACTGCTCAATGCTGATTGGATAAAATGTTTCCTAGCGTTTTCAGGGCATCTTTAAGAATATTCTGGTTCGCCCCGACAATAATAACAACAGTTTTTTTAATGTAGTGAATCAAATACAAAGTATATCATAGATTTCCTTAGAGATTATGTTTGCGTTTATTATGAAACTAACTAGCGAACAATACAGAGAATCATTTTTGTTTATACTTCATACCACACTGTGTTTCATTTAATTTATAACCGATATTTATGTTTGAAGAATAAACGGTATTAGAGTAAACGATCTGCATCAAGAGATGAAGAAGTTATTGAGAACGATCATTTACTTTAATAATCTGTTCTTAAATATTCAGTGGTAATTTCTAAATTTATATGTTGAGTATGAATGAAATTTTGAAAACTCTGTATATTCTTCATTTGCTATTATACACAACATAGATTCCAGTAAAGTATCGAAAATATTAGGCCTAATCATACGGTTGTAATAATTAGGTATACTGTATGTATCAGATAAGAATTTGTTAAAAATCATAGTCTTCAAGAACAAATATTCTAGTACGAAATCCTGAATTTGTAAAGATAACTAACTGTCTATTCTTTTAAATAATTAATAAAATACTACACGGTATGATTAATCTTTACCGAATGTTCATTACCCATTAATAAATCATTTAGATCCAGATATCATACCTGTATTTATACATACATATTAGAAGAGGTTTTGTGGAGATTGTAGTAATTTCACTAATTGAAATCATGAGTCAATTGAAGCTAGCCTATCATGGAAAACCTGGAAGCACTGGACGACCATTTCATCATATGATGGGACTCTTCAGCACTGGACGGCCGTTTCGTCCTAGTACGGGACACCTCAGCAGTGCACATCTACGATCCCGCACACTGTGAGATTCGAACCCAGGATCAGTGCTTCCAGGTTTTCCATGGTGGTCTAGCTTCAATTGACTCATGATTTCAATCTGTGAAATTTCAACTACTGTCAAAATACCCTAACTTCAATTCTTAGAATAGAGTATTCCTCCTATATAGAATAAAACCGAAAATAAACTACAATATGACTTAGATTTTCAGTTTATTAATAAATGGATCAAGTCAATGATAAAATTGATGACCATTAATTATAGTTTATTTTAATTTAAGAAAGAAAGATCAAAAGAACACTTCATTCAAGTTGTTTAATGATATGAAAAGAAAAAAAAACAACAACCATTCCTATACTTCTGATTCATCAAAGTATCTAAAAATAATTAGAATGGAATGATATTATTGTACAATTGTAAAATCAATTTTAAAATTATACATATATATTATCAAATGTTTTGTTAATAAAATATATGAGGTACTAATGTGGTGTGTGCTACTGATCTCGACAGATATAAGTAGTATGTATTATCAATCGAAAGTGGAAGGCCTGGTGACTAAAGGTTGAGAAGATTGAAGAGAAGAGAATGAGAGCAGAGAGTGAGAGTGGCATGAAAATGAAGGAAGAATAAAGTTTGAGACAATTGATGGACATTTTTTTGCAAATGAGTCAGTCAGTCAGTCAGTCAGCTACAACGTAGGATCAGGCAGATGGGTTTTGTGGATAGTATAGTAATTTCAATGGTTAAGATCATGAGTCAGTTAAAGCTAGAACACCATGGAAAACCTGGAAGCACTGGACGGCCGTCTCATTCTATTGTGGGACTCCTCAGCAGTGCGCATCCACGATCTCGCACCCCCCCCCGCGAGATTCGAACCTAGGACTTATCAGTCTCGTGCGCATGCGCTTGACCACTAGACCACTGAGCTGACCGGTATCCAACGCTGTTAATGTCTAACTTCAACTAATTCACGAAATTGAGTGACACATCCACCACTGTCATTAGTGAGTTATTATCTCATAACAGACCTGGTTGAACTCCACTGATCAGTACTTCTTACTAGAACTCCAGGATATACCTCTTGAAGCCAGTCATTAGCGAGCATATGTTGATTAATATCAAATGGGTTTTGTGGATATTATAGTAATTTCCTTGGTTAAGATCATGAGTCGTGGATGCGCACTGCTGACGAGTCCCACAATAAGACGAGACGGCTGTCCAGTGTTTCCAGGTTTTCCATAGTGGTCTAGCTTCAATTGACTTATGATCTTAACCATTGAAATGTATATAATACAATGATAATTAAATTTTCATACTTACTCAGTTAATCGACGTGTACCTTTCTTATTTTTCAGTTCTTCTGGTGTTGGTGATCCAAAATCTATTTCAGTTTTACTTTCACCATCGTTAAATTTTAAAACTTGTTTAGAATTCAACGAAAATTTCACTCCACCAACTTCAATAATCATATCACCTTGATCATAGAAAAAAATTAATTAAATAAGAATACAAATAAAATATATTGATGGCCTTGAGCTAACCAATCAGAAGTAAAATAACACCTTAGTTATTTTGAGCAAAGTTAAATCAACGGTAATAGACAATGTACATGTTAATATTAACCAAATGAAAAAATTTGGTTCTTAAAATGTTTGAACTCAATGAAAATATCTATTATACAACAATAAATTAAATTTCAGGTTATACTTAAGCTAAATTACATGATATACCTGCTTTTAAGGTAGATTGTATGTCTAAGTACTTAATGTTATTCATTGGGTAAGGCATTGGATTGTAGCTGAGGTCAATTAATGTTGAAAACCCTGACTCTAATTTATAAACTCAACTCAAAACTTCAGTTTAACTCTCAATACCAAATCTTAACTAATTTGTATTGTGACTGATCTCATTTGGTGATGAGAACTCTATAGGATGGTAAGCCTTATATTAGCTCAACTCCTAGTGCGCATGTATGTATGTATTTATGTATGTATGTATGTATGTATGTATGTATGTATGTACGTACGTATGTATGTATGTATGTATGTATGTATGTATGTATGTATTTATGTATGTAAACGTGCTCTTTATTCTTTACTAGAAAGGATAATTTGACTTGTGACAGTTAATTTTTATGATCGAAGCTGTTATTCCTCTGTTATTTCATTAGTTTGTATCGTTAACTGTTTTATAACTAGGCAGCGTTTCCTGAGTGACTGATAAGTCGCTCAAGGTAGTCAGTATATTATCCTGTTACTTAAATATCTTTTAGATAAACAAATATTATTTTATTTTTTAATGCTAAAAATGTATAAAATCAGTCGTATTGCCTATGTCTAACTCAAATTTACCTATTTTTTTTGTAACTGAAGAATAGTAATTCATATTAAACATTCCTATAAATTTTAGTGATTAACGTAATAAACGGTCGTCCACTGCTTTCAGGTTTTCCATGGTGGTTTAACTTCAATTGACTCATGATCTCAACCATTGAAATTTATAAATAATTACCGATTGTTCTATTTAAGGTCATTGGTCAAAAGTGTTTTATCGAAATTTGTATCACTCAAACGTAAACAATGATCTAAGTGAAATTTATTACATGAAATCAAAGTTAAAATGTAGGTAGGTATAAATGAATTACTAGTTGCTGAACAACAGCTAATGTATAGTTAGTCAAATAAGGTGTGTATTTGAAGTAAATTTAAATATTTGATGTTATTAATACTATTATTATTAGTGGTAATAGTAGCAAGAATAATCGCAATACAAATGATAGTTAGAACAACATATATAAGCGAACAATATTGTTTTCGATTAGATCCTCATCAGGCTTTACTCGAATATACAGTAAAGCCTGATGAGGATCTAATCGAAAACAATATTGTTCGCTTATATATGTTGTTCTAAATTTACAATATGGGAATATTTCGAATGATATTTAGTTCCATTTCAGTATCTTACAGTAAGATAAATTAAAACCTGTAAATCACTTTAGTTAACCGAAAGATCAATGTTTATAAGAAATATCTTTTTTCAGAAAAATACAACTAACCTTTTCCGTCTATAACAAATGGAACATCTATGGTTTCTTTTTGCTTTTTAGCAAATATATTTGGGAATAGTAGACAAATGGTGACAAAACTAATCACTAGAAGCTGATGCATTTGTATATATTTACAGCTAAAACAAAAGAAATTGATATGCATTGAATCCTTTGATTCTAGTGAAATATAATTCTTTTTGTAGTTAACATCACTGACTAGCTTTATTTGGACAGCCACTGAATACTAGGAAATACTGGGCATACGTTTCGTCCCAGTACGTGACTCGTTATCTCTGGGTGCTCATGATACCACCAGAGATTGAACGGGGGTATTACGTGTGTTTTGGCGAGCCCTTAATCTTAAGATAACTGAGTTACTATCAGATGGTTTACATTTTCAACTTCAGTTAGTTTGAGGTACTAGGCATCCCTTTTTTATATGATTAATGGGTAACATCATCACATCCGATATTGTAGGACTCTGCTCAGCGAATTCTCTCCCGAAATTAGTGACTACTAAGATGTTAAAGTTGTCTAATTATAGTCATTCCGTGATGTAAACTACGAAATTCAAAAGTCAGTCAGTCAGTTACAATTTAGGACCAAGCACATATATGCATCGGTCCTAGCTGTCATACCTCATTAGCACAGCAAGACGAACACCGGATTCATTGAAGCAGTTAACTCAATGGTGTAATATATAAAGAAAAGATTTTATGTAACGATATAGTACAGTAAGAAAGAATTAGTTGGTAGAAAGAAAGATATGAAGCGGTTTTAATCTCATAGTTTAAGGGAAGACAAAGAGTGTATACACCTACGCCATTATTATCTATTCTGAGTCATGTCATCCATAGTCTCCAACCTTTGGTTACGATAGTCCCGTGGACCCTAAACAAGTATTCTGCATCTACCAACATGGCTCAGACTAGAAGTAATGATATGACTAAGAATACTAATAAGAACTTTAGATTATTATAAATGAACCAAGGTAGAATTCACTGTCCTATAGATTAAGCAATTGTGAACTAAGCCAATTATTATATATTCAGTAGATAAGTTAATTAGTCAGAATATCATAATCTATTTCGATTTCTCTTATGTACTAATTGTGAAATATAGAATATAAAGTTTTGGAATATACAAAAATTTTACTACTTACATTATCTTTGATGAGTCGAGGATAAATAGACCGTCATTTATATACATATATATTTCGAATATTTTACAATCAATTTACTTATGACACATAGAATTTTCCAACAATTCATACAAACCAACTTTATATGTCCATAGATTATAAGGTTAGCTCAATAAATCATAAAAATCGGCTTAATATATATTGAATTCATTATTTTAGTTACTTCTATAGGTAAACAATTGAGGTGTAATGATTTGAAATTTTCGCCTTTGTTGATATTTATAATTGAATTTTGACTAGTCGTAGTTGGCATACGTATATCCTGTGCGGATTTTCTCAATAATAATAATAATAATAATAATAATAATAATAATAATAATAATAATAATAATAATAATAATAATTCAAACCAGTACAAATTGAATAAAAATTCACATTCGCTGCATAGGCTATTGATTGTCTAAAATGAATGTCTCCATGAATAACACAATGGCTATTTGAAGCAAAAGGTATTGTGTTTGAGTTCAAACGTAAACAGCGTATGCGCACGAGACTGATAAATCCTGGGTTCGAATCTCGCAGGGGGCGAGATCGTGGGTGCACACTGCTGAGGGGTACCACAATAGGGCGAGACGGCCGTCCAGTGCTTCCAGGTTTTCGATGGTGTTCTAGCTTCAATTGACTCATGATCTTAACTATTGAAATTACTACAATCTCCACAAAACCCTACGGATACTGTTATTATCATAAAACGTTTAATTTTTGCTAATATGCCTTAGGATCGCAAATCTTTTTAATATTAAATATCCAAAATTAGAATAATTCATAATGAATACATGAAGTTCCGAAATACCAAAGTTGATTCTAATATTTGAATATCCTCATTTCAATCCTAGATCCTACCATATAGACACATTTTTGTCAACGTGCTTGATCTACTCTAGAACATACAGTTCAGTCTAGCTTTAACTGATTCATGATCTCAACCATTGAAATTACTATAGTATCCACGACACCCCTTCTGATGTTAGTGGAATATTCATCAAACAAATGATTCATAGTTAATCGAAATATTTAAATTCCTTGAAGTTTGAAGTAGTCTGCTATTGGGAAATTCACTTAATTCACTTCCATATGATGGTTAATTTGATAATCTTCAAATTGAAATTAAAGCATTTGAATTCAAAGTTTCATTCTAACTGGACAATGAAACCGTTAGGTAAAGTTACATATTTTTTAGTAATATAATGTCTAAAATCACGTATATATGAAAGAATAAATGAAATAAAACTGTGGAAATATCTAATAAAACTTAACTATCTATTGGTCAGTTTACATACACTAAACATCTGTTCTTACATTCAAATACCATTGGTATAAAATTTGGGATATTTAAGTACATGGTTTGGTTTCAACGATTTAAAATCTTCCTATGAACTGCGTAATATTCAATAAAATCTTTATCCATCCAAAGTAATTGAAGGGAAAATAATTGTGAATCACATAAAGTGAAATGTTATTAATCCATCATTTCTACCATACGGTTCAGGTGCTCCGTTTTTATTCTCAAGTGTTATAATTCACTATTCTTAAATTGTGTTATAACTTTAACTCATTTACGAAGTACATGTTCGTGTGCTGAGCTTTTAGTCGAACAGTTTTTACGAGGATACTAGTGTTAATCAGATACTCAACTGAAAATCCCCCACACCATTATAGACAGAATGATATCCAAAGTGAGTCATTTAAGCAATTCAATATGAATTTAATTGAAGTATAGTCTATAAATCTAAGATTAGAATATGGATGTCGAGTTCAAAACAAGTATTAACAAAACGTAGGTTAAGCTCTGTATTTCAAAAATACCGGTAAAAATAAAAAAGGGCTTCAGAGAATAGCACATGCAAGGGAGAAAAGGTGATCAAAGTATTAGAGCAATCTAAAACACCAAAATAAGTGTATTGACGGACGCGATAATTGTCTAGTTATGACAACAAAAGATCATATGGAGCAACTTACAGCCAATAAAAATGTTTGAGCTAAACTCAAACTACTGAATATTAATAAATAGTATAACGTAACACACAAAAAGAACCAGACGAGTTAGAAAATTTATCACCAGAATATTAGGACGATACTTTCGGAATTATAATCACCAAAATAATTTATGAGTATTTTTCTGAACTACCATATTCTTTAAAATTTGGACAGTAAGTTCATGATAGTGTTTAAAGTAGTTGTTCGTCAATGGTTATAGTATTGAGCACGAATTGGATATGTTTACAGGATGGTTGTGAACTACCAGAATAAAATCAAGTAATATTGGAGAAAATGATTCCAAATGTTTCGAACTTTATTATGACACTAGGCTAGTTGAATATGATGTATCCCATTACTGATATAAAAGAATTCACATAAATACCGTAATCTTAGAAAAGTCCACTAATGAGTCTGGAATATTGGGGAAGAAATTGTGATAGGTATTTCATGAAAGTTGTCCAGTATATGAAAAATATATGAATGGTTTTCTGATTCAGTATTTTTTCCTCATGCTGCATACAAACTAAATGAACCCAAATAAGGGGTTACAGTCTAAAGATTATTTTACGCATGAACCGTATGTCGACTTTGAACAGTTTCAAAGTACACTAAATCTGCTTAGTAATTTAAAAAGTAACTAACCACACAAATTTTCTAGCATAACTACACCTGTAGCTTTTCTAGAGTTACTGCTTGCCTCAAGACCGGATAGAGTAAGAGGATTAGACATGGAGTCTGTAACCCTTTCATGTAGAGAAAAAACTTACTATAAGTATGCTAACCAAAAAATTTATTTAAACCACTTAAACGGTACCCTGAGAGTTGAAGGATCTTTGTTTAGAAGAATTATGACGTCTCTCACTAAAATCCAAGATTCTTGGAAGACAGGAGGCCGATTTTACCTTTTTACAACCAGAGTAACAGTTTTCATAGATACATGGAATGCCCGGACATTGTGGCAGACCGGGAGGACCAGTGAAATAGCAACGGAATTGAGACGGTACAACTTGGTGGTTCTCGGAATCAGCGAAACCCATTAGATCCAAGCTTTACAACAAGGGTTAGGTATGGGAGAGATGCTGCTGTACTCCGGTCACGAAGAGAAAAATGTGTCACACACTCAGGGAGTTGCTCTGATGCTGCCCAAACAAGCACGAAATGCACTTATATTATGGGAATCCCATGGATCCAGGATTATCAAAGCATCATTCAAAACAAAGAAGGAGAGAATCATGATGAATGTTATCCAGTATTATGCACCCACCAATGACAACAATGACGACAATGAAGATCAGTTCTATGAGAGGATGCAATCAATCATAGCGAAATGCCCAGGAAAAGACCTGACCATCCTGATGGGAGACCTGAACGTCAAAGTCGGAATGAACAAAACTGGATATGAAGATATCATGGACGACATGGAAAGACTGTGAGAGAGAGAAAGGAAAATGGTGAGAGATTTGCAAACCTATGTGCATTCAACAAGTTGGTTATAGGCAGCACAATATTTCCACACGAACGCATACACAAAGCTACATGGATCTCACCGGACGACACCAGGGAAAACTAGATAGATCATATTTATATCGGTAAAGAATTCAGAAGGTCAGTGGAAGATGTGAGAACTAGGAGAGGAGCTGACATAGCTTCAGATCGTCAGCATCATGCGGTATTTGTACGACGGACTAAACTACAAATTTGTTCATGAAGGACAGCTGACAGGCTCATTCCAAGTGAGGGCCAGGGTCAGACAAGTCTGCTTACTCTCCCGCTTCCTCTTTCTTCGGGTGGTTGACTGAATTATGAAGACCTCGACATCTGACGGGAGGCACACAATAAATTGGACATTTGAATGCGAATAGACGATTTTGACTTCTCAGATGACCTAGTCCTTTTATTCTATACACGCGAACAAATGCAAGTGAACACAACCAATGTGGCAGAGGCCTATACATGATAGGCCTCAACACGCAATGGAAAAATCAAGATCCTTAAATACAACACGACGAACACCAACCCAAACACACTTGATGGAGAAACTCTGGAAGGGGTGGAAAGTTTCCCATATCTAGGTGGCATCTCCGATAAACGTAGAGGATTTGATAGACGTAGAGGCGAGGGTTGGCAAAGCAAGGACAGCATTCCTACAGTCGAACAACATATGGAACTTAAAACAACTGACAGTCAACATAAAAGTCAGAATCTTCAATACGAACGTCAATATAGTTCAACTGTACGGAGCTGAAACCTGGAGAACTGCTACAACCATCATCAAGCATGTACAAGTATTTATAAACAATTATCTACACAAGATGCTGAATGTCCGTTGGTCGGATAACATCAGCAACAGCCTACTGTGGAAGAGAACAAACCAAATTCCAGATGAGGAGGGAATTAGGAAAAGACGCTACAAACGGATAGGACATACATTACGGAAATCATCAAACTGTATCATGAGGCAAGCGCTAACTTGGAATCCTGAAGGGAAAATAAAGAAATATACAAAAGCACTTTCTCTGAATACATGTACTACAATACTATTACATAGTAGTACAGATAATAACATTTATAAATAATAATTGACTGTAATATGTAAAATGATGTTGAGTTAACAGTCAGTTTGAATTACAGTCTCTTATTACAAACAACGTTATAGGTAAGCTTCTTTGTCCAATCATTCTAAAATAATTATCATAATTAAAAATAATAATAATAAGATTTACAAAACTCATGTTTATTAAAAAGAATGATCTATATGAAAAATCAAATTGATTTAAGATTAATTACTTCGATTCAGTACAATATCACATAAGTTAAATCTTGAAAGATGATACCAAAAATTTTGAAGCCACTCTTATAGATTTGACAGTAAACAGATAGTTGTATTTCATTTGAATTTATTCAACATACATTAAATCCAAAAACAAAATACTTTCACTAGTATTTTTGTTCCAAATTCATATTTAGATATTTGGTTTGCCAATCATTCATTATGTTAGAAAGTGTAATTAACTCGAATCTTGTTAAG